CTTATATATTACTTAAAACTTCTTTATATATTATAACTAATTTAAATAAAACTATTATTTATTCTAGAATATTTAATATAGTTATAATTAATATTTATTAAAGATCTTAATATTTATTTTTATTATTATTAAATATATTATAATAAAGATTTTATATTTTATTTATTATAATTATAATAACTTCTAATATTATTTTATTTTTATTCTTTTTTATAGTTTCTTTTGAGGAAAATCTTTTATTATTCCTAATAATATTAATTAATTATACTTAGTAATTTAAAATAAGTCTTAATCTAAGCTTATAATATAAAATAAATAAAGCCTTTATTAGTAAGATAATTAATATAAATCTAAGACTTAGCTTTCTAATATTATTAGAAATACTTAATTATATACCTTTATAGGTACTTCTAATTTTTTATATTTATTAATAAATATATTATATTTTATATTTAAGAAGTTATTATTAATACTAGTTCTTAAATATTTTTTAAATTTATAATAATTCTTATTAAAGTCTATAAGCTTATAGGAAATATTAATAGGTTTTTAATAAATAGATTTAGAATTAAAGTTATAGTTATTATTATTATTATAATAAGTATTATTTAAGAGTTTATTTAAATATTTAAATAGATTATTATTAAAGTTATTATTTTTATTTTAAATAAAGTTCTTAATATCTTACTAGAACTTTATTTATTACCTTTACTTATCTTATATTAACTACTTTATATATAATTAGATTAATAAAATAATTAAAGGAAATTATAATTATAGTAATTATAGGCTTCCCCTCTTAAAATCTATAAAGGTACTAAAGAAGGGGGCCTAGAAAGTAATATAGTAGAATAATAGTTAAATTAACTATTTAGGTTTAGCTTAGATCTTTAAGATAGTAGATATAGTATTTAATAATCTTCCTAGTTATCTTTAAGTATATTAAAATCTTTATCTTAAGACTTAAATATAATATAGTTATTTCTTAGTAGACTAGAGGGTATTTTTATATTAAGATTCTAGGACTCTAATTATTACCTAAAATCTTTATTATCTTCTAGCTAAGTAGGTAAAGTCTTATTTTAAAATAGATTATATAAAGAATTTATTATTCTTTTACTTTTTTCTTTAAGTATATAAATCTCTTAGTCCCTTAAAAAAACTTAAAATAAAGATCTAATAATTTTACTAAATACCTTATAATATTTATTTTCTGAATTTTTAAATTTATCTTAAAAAAATTAAATATATTTTTAATTAAATAATTCTTCTAAGAAAAGGTATTAAAAAAACTATTTAACTTATATAAATATATTATCATATTTTTCTTAAATAATTAAGTTTAGATTAATCTTTAATAGTTATTAATAACTTTATTTTAATATTATAAATATAACTAGTACTTCTATTTCTTAAAATATTATTTTTAATTTTTATTATATCTAATTTAATAAGAAAAATCTAAATATTCTCTTAATATAACTATAATTACTAATATTATTATTATAAAAGTTTTAATATTATAAATAATATATATTTATAGTTAAGAAAAAGCTTAAAGAAAATAAACTCTTTGTTTTTTCTTTTTTAAATTCATTATTAAGATAATAAAAATATCTTTTAAGGAAAAGAAATATAATCTTTATTTTAAATAAAAGGAATTTTCTTATAATAAATAATAAAAAAAGATTTAATATAATAATTTAGATATTTTAGTAAATATAAATACTTAAAGACTTTTTTCTTTAGTTAATATAAATAAATAAAATTAATCTATTTTTTTAATTTTTATAATCTAACTATTTATAATTTTTAATTACTAATTAATATAATTAATAAAAAAAAACTAGATAAGTAAATAAGTTACTTTACCTAATCTTTACTTTTTAATTATAAATAATTTAATTATAATATAAAAAAATATCTAAAACTAATTAAAATCCTTTTTTATTAATTTTTATATTTATAATATATATATATATTATATTTAATTTAACTATATATTTTAATCTTTATCTTTTAACTATTATAAACTTATATTTTATATTTTATTTAATAATTTATATTTTTTATTTTTTAAATTTTTATATTTTATATAAAAAATAATCTTTTAATTTATAATTTAATTTCTTTAATTTATTAGTATTTATTTATTAATTTATTTTAGAATTTTAAAAATATATACTAATATATATATAAAAATAACTTTATATATAATAGTTATTATATTTTTTTAAAACTTTTAAATATATTAAAACTTTAAATAAAAAACTATTTAAATAATTAATAATTTATTTTTATAAAATTAAAAATTATAAAACTATTTTAATTAT